TGGAGAGTGCAGTGCAATGCAGTACATACCTCGAGTTGAGTTTTCTCAGAGACGAGGTCACAGAGAGGTAGCTGGATTGGGAGGACGGTCATGACTGGCTTCGGGTAGACTGGAGGGAACGTCAGACCTTTACACAACACAGCTCTGGGGGGAAGGTAAGGGGGAAGGTAGCCCTTAGGTACTTCCCTTTAAAAACCATTATCAATCTTTTTCTACTAAGTATGCCATGTTGTACTTACGTATAATTATAATTATAGAAACATAAGAAATGGAGTAATATAATTATATTCGAGACCTGATTTCGTCAGGATTGTGTGTCATGCCGACCACAAAGTAGTGGTCTGCTTTGCTCCCGACTTGCTTCACTGTGTCCAGGATCGGTATCCATGACAACCCTCCATAGTGGGCGGAGTCAAGCAGACGAACTATTCCCTTGCTGTCATGGGTAACCAGACATCCTCCTTCTGAGAATCTGGTAGCAAGGGGAAAATTAAGACACACTCACATCCAAAACTAGATAATTTTGTTTAATTCTGCTAATTAGAAAACAACATGGGTTTGGGACATAAATTTTTCGCTACGTAGCATGAGTTTCAGTAAAACCAGAAAATTGCGCATCAAATCTGTACGTTTTCGAAAACATTTAAGCTTCAAACGTTGTCGATGAGCTGACCCAAACCAGTCTAGTTTTGAGTGGAGGGAGAGAGGGAGGGAGTGAGGCCGGAACAGCTGCTTTCTCTTCACCACATCCAACACCCACACCTTCAACTGGAACACCTTCTCTGTGCCTGCACAGGATGGGAAGGGTTAATAATTCTGAGGATGTAAGGGGTTAATCTTACAGGGTGGTTCCTGGTAAACGACTGCCAAACGAGAGCCCCACCCGGCCACACCCACTATCACCCCGGCAACACAGAGCACGTCGCGCTGCATTCCTCCCAACGAAAACACCCTCAGCAGTTGTTTATCGGTCGCCACGGCTACCCATCCGTTTCCTAGCGACAGACCGGTAGCCGACTCCTTTGCGGGGAGTGAGAGGCTCCATTCCTTGTTCCCTGAGTCCCACGTCGAGAGGTGAAGACACTGCAGCTGGCTGTGAATGTGCAGTAAGTAGTGAGAAGATCCCCAGGTACAGTTTCCCCTATTGTACCCTCTCTCCTACACTTTCATCTTTTCCCCCTAATTTTTGCTCACACTTTCACTCTTTCTCGTTTCAAATTTTACATCTTTCCCCTATCTCGCCCCAACTTCTTTCCCCCTATCACCTGTTCCTATCTTGATTTCACCGTCCATCTTTCCCCCTATCTCACTCCCACCTAATTTAGTAGCAATTACCTGGGGTTTCCTTCGTTTCGTTGGCATGCCAACGCCAGACACGACTCACTCAGTGAGGCCATGTTGTTGCCATGGTGATTAGGAATGCTGAAGGAATGGTGAACTGTCGAATTGTGGAATTCCACCTGTGACAAACCACACCCACTTTCCTCAATTTCCAGTATGATATAATATTCCTACCTCGATCATGTGTGTGTCGTCGTCGTTATGGCTACGGACCACGCCCACCATGTTGTAAGTGAGGAAGTGATGTGGGAGGGTGTGAGGGGTGGAGGAGGGGAGAAGGGGAGACTGGTACACCTCAACAAACTTCTCACTGAATGCAGCTGCCGCCGTCCGGGCAATGGAGGTGGGTGGAGCCAGCGGACGAGAGGGGGCGGGGCCAACATCACCCGAGATGAGACTCTCCACATCGTCAGGGGCAACTGCTCAGACAAACATTTAGTACACAAAATTTTTATACACCTTCAAAAAATACTGTCAAATTCCCTACTTTGCACCTTATTTTTTCATAACTTTTTGAAGGATAAAACTTCTGCAAATTTCACCTCGAGATGGTCAAATATGGGACCAATTAAATGCTCTCTTGAAAAAGTGTTTCCCACTATATAATGTACAGCAACCCACCAGCTGCATTGCTCTCTGTCTCCCCCTCATCATCACTGTCCTCCAGCAGTCTCCGTCTCTTACGAGAATGAATGATGTCATCGTCTTCAGCTAGGTTGCTATGGGAACCAGACAAAGCCGTTTCGTCCTCGTCGTCATGGGCACCGTCCAGCACCTCGTCGTCTCCGTCCATGATGTCGTCGGTTCCAAAAATAGCATCGGGGGGAATTCCCTCCATGAGTAAACTGTCATCTGCCAGAGGATCATCAGTTGATTCCACCCCTTTGGTTGAACCACGCCCACCCACTGTAGGCTCCGCCCCCTGGAACCACCCGATGTATCCCTCGTTGTCAGCAAAATAGAGACCAGCCTTCCCGTCCCGTTCCGATTCCTCTGTGTCCGGATACCATTCCAGGGATGTGATTCCGATCCCACTCTCATTACGATATCTGATGAGAGATGAACATTTTTAGGAAGGGTGTGTGCAAAACCTTTAAACAATGTTGTTACCATGACAATGGTACTTACGTAATAGTATAGTATAAGAGAAATATTTTTAGCCATTTTCTGCATAAAATTTGTGGGTTAGAATTTCAACTATGTATGTAAAGCAACTGCTGTTTTTTTCCTTAAAAATTCTCTCATTTCTCCTGACCTCCCACTGACAGATCTATTGCTGTAGTCCCAAACTGAGACGACCCCATCAACACCAGCGCAGGCCAGGAATTGACCACACCCCCTCCACGACACCACGTTCATTACCTGTCACGACGACCAACAAACAAATACACAAACATCGTTAACCTCACAAAATACAACATTAATGAGTGTTTAGTGTTTAGGCTCAAACAAAGACAATTTTGAACATTGGTTACAGCTAAACTAAAATGCTGGATTGTTGCTCCAAAAAATCAATGATAGAAAAATTTTTGGCCTAATTCTAGGTGCTAAGAGATGAGCCATCTTCTGTGCAGCACATTATACAGGTAACCTGTATGTGGGCGGAGCTAACCTCTATGTGGGCGGAGTCAGCGAGGGTAGCGACACACTCCCATGTCCCTCTCTGGTACACTCTGACCTCTGTTTCCACGGGAACAGCTAGCAACTGGATAAACCACCACACCCCAAAACGTGACAACCAACCGACATCACAAATACACACAGAGCGTTTGTTGACATTAACATAATGTAAACAAGCTAATTAGTTTATTTTCAGTAATACTAACAAACAAACCCTTCGAAGTGGATTGACTTAACCGGTTTCAAACCAGTATAAAGCGAGATGTACATTTGCAATCATACCTCTCCAGAGGATGGTTGCCAGGAGACCGTTGCCATACTCGTTGCCGTGGAGACGTCGTTGCACTTGTGAAGTACTTGCAGCTGTTTCACACAGACCTGGCGAGGGAGTGGGGGAGATCTGACTTCTACAGCTGCTTTGGATCAGCTGACACATGATGAAAGAACTATATTGTACACTATTGTAAAGCCCTGCTTTTTCTTAGGGTTGTTTTATTCACTGCACTCTCCAGCTATAGTCAAGGTGTTCAGGATGGTTGGTTGGCCTGTCCTTCCCCCCACTTGCTTACTAAAAGTACAAACAATTTAGGCCACCCTATTCTTTCACTGCACACTCCAGCTATAGTCAAGGTATTCAGGATGGTTGGTTGGTCTGTCCTTCCCCCCACTTGCTTGCTAAAAGTACAAACAATTTAGGCCACCCTATTCTTTCACTGCACACTCCAGCTATAGTCAAGGTATTCAGGATGGTTAGTTGGTCTGTCCTTCCCCCCACTTGCTTACTAAAAGTACAAACAATTTAGGCCACCCTATTCTTTCACTGCACACTCCAGCTATAGTCAAGGTATTCAGGATGGTTAGTTGGTCTGTCCTTCCCCCCACTTGCTTGCTAAAAGTACAAACAATTTAGGCCACCCTATTCTTTCACTGCACTCTCCAGCTATAGTCAAGGTATTCAGGATGGTTGGTTGGTCTGTCCTTCCCCCCACTTGCTTGCTAAAAGTACAAACAATTTAGGCCACCCTATTCTTTCACTGCACACTCCAGCTATAGTCAAGGTATTCAGGATGGTTAGTTGGTCTGTCCTTCCCCCCACTTGCTTGCTAAAAGTACAAACAATTTAGGCCACCCTATTCTTTCACTGCACACTCCAGCTATAGTCAAGGTATTCAGGATGGTTGGTTGGTCTGTCCTTCCCCCCACTTGCTTACTAAAAGTACAAACAATTTATGTCACCCCATTCTTTCACTGCACTCTCCAGCTATAGTCGAGGTGTTCAGTTAGAACATTGACAAACCTACATATTAACTAGGGGGAAAAAGGTGGTGAAACTCACGTTCCCATTCTTCAGGTCCCATACTCTGAGACTGCCGTCACAGGAGGTGGAGGCCAGTAGCTGCCCCCGGGGGTCAAATATTGCACACAACACGGGGGCCTCGTGACCCCGCAAAATGGCAATCTATGTAGGTGGACAGAATAAGACTTTAAAAACTGCACGTTTTTTCCAGTTAATCTAATCTGGAAATGAAATTGTCCATACTCTAGTGAGATGTCTGAATAGCATGCAAATAATGTTCTTAAGAAAGGAAAAGGTGTCCATAATTATTATATTACGTGAGGTGTCCTTATTACAGAATTTAAAGCACATGCAAGAGCTGTTCTTGGAGAAAGAAAAGGTGTCCTTATTGGAGAGGTGTCCTCATTTCAGGGGTGTCCTTAGAGAGGTGTCCTCCATTTCAGGGGTGTCCTTATTAGAGAGGTGTCCTCATTACAGAATTTAAAGCACATGCAAGAGCTGTTCTTGGAGAAAGAAAAGGTGTCCTTATTGGAGAGGTGTCCTCATTTCAGGGGTGTCCTTAGAGAGGTGTCCTCATTTCAGGGGTGTCCTTATTAGAGAGGTGTCCTCATTACAGAATTTAAAGCACATGCAAGAGCTGTTCTTGGAGAAAGAAAAGGTGTCCTTATTGGAGTGGTGTCCTCATTTCAGGGGTGTCCTTATTAGAGAGGTGTCCTCATTACAGGATTTTAAGCACATGCAAGAGCTGTTCTTGGAGAAAGAAAAGGTGTCCTTATTGGAGAGGTGTCCTCATTTCAGGGGTGTCCTTATTGGAGAGGTGTCCTCATTTCAGGGGTGTCCTGAGAGAGAGGTTCCACTGTATTTTACTTGAGTGATGTCATCGAGTCGAACAGTTCTGATGGTGAAGTCACATGACGAGGCCACAAGTCTGAGGTGGGCTTGGTCTACAGACAGGAATGTGACTGGAGACGTGAATCTCATTAACAGACCCTCCGGTGCTCCCTGTGAGGGGCCAGTGAAGAGCAACATGAGGGAGGAGATGGAGAGAGGGAGGAGGAGAGGGAGAGAGGGAGGAGAGGGAGAGAGGGAGGAGGAGAGGGAGAGAGAAAGCGAGATGCAAACACTAACTTCTCCTGTGAATGTCTGCACCGAGTGGTTGTCAATTGCCACGGCAACCAGGTCGCGGTTCTCGAGAGTGTACGGAGCGATGGCACACACAGTTTCCGTGGAGACGGTGAACTCCGAACTGTCGTCTTCTTCAATGCCAGAGAAGATCCTCACGTCACAGTCGTGACCACACGTGACCAGGTGCCTGCATCACGTGACAACACGTGACAGATCAAAACAATCACTATTCAACGTAACTGACCTTTTCCTATCAAACGTAAGATGAGTAGTTCCTTCCGCATGCGCGTAGCGACGAGAAGTAGGTTCGATTGCCATAATTCGCCCTCTTTCCTCTGCTTTTCAGCCTCGTTGCGTGTTCCAACCGAAACGCGCCAAACACCCGCCAAACTTTTAACGCTCACGTGAGCACCAGTTTCATGTCACGTGGTGGTAAAACGAGCCCCTGCACTTTCCACCCCGCCCCCTTTTTTGGTCGTCCCTCGGGAAAATATCTTGATCTCCTGACTTTTCTGGCGAAGGTTTTGTGCAGTGGCTGAGCTAGCGAAGGAGATCGGGGTGGTCAAAGTAGAGCGGCAGTGTTTGGAGAGAGGATCCGGGGCAACGGGCGGGAAAGAACTGGAGAGAGAGAGAGTACAGCTGCAGAGACTTGCTGGCCGGAGAGCTGCATTACACGTGAGTTGTACTACAACAACACACGAGATGATGACACGTCGAGTTATCGTGTCGTGGCTTTATATTCGACCACGTGTGTGTGTAAGTTTATCTCTCTGAGAGATTGGTGTAGCTAACTGGCTACATCGTTTGGCGCCCGTCGCGCGTCCCTAGCCTCGAGTTGTGTCATTGTCGGTAAGTCTGCAGCCGGCCATGGGTGCGTACGTATGTATGTAGAATCTGAGCTCCGTTCATTTATGGCGGAGAATGCGCTACTACAACGTCTAGCTTCGTCTGATCACCTCGTAGTATTGTTGTAAAACTATTCAAAGAAGCTCTGATGTGAAAGTCTATCTCCCTTTTTTTCCTTTTGCTAATGCATATTTATTATATATACGGGTGCTAATATCCATAGCTATAGACTTTGACTCTTTTGTGTATTGCCTAAAGCATAGCTAAAGCCATTCAATTCAACTTTGCTCTTCTCACGTCACTTTGCACTTTGTTATCGAACTTAGACATGTTTGTATCTGTCTCCTCGCAATGTAATAATATTGCCGAAAGCTGTCTAAAGATATTCGTAAACAGTTAGTGTTGTCTACATTTTAAACCACTAATACATGCTTCGTTAATCATTATCCTCGCTATTTAGTTAATAGTATAATAATAGTAATTTAAAGGTGTGATTTCAAATAGCGTTTTAGCGTCTTGTTTCATGTGTTCTGAGCAAACAATGGGTGTCTGTTGCCAGGAAGTGGTGCTTGCGTTGCCACGGTGAGTGTGTGTTTGTTTCGCGGCAACCTCAACACTAGGGTGGGTGGGTACATCACGTATGTACAGTTTTCGCTCTCAAGACATCATCACCTTCGTTTCTTGTTGCCCGCTTCGGGGAAATGGCTCTCTCTCTCTCTCTCTCTCTCGGGATTGCATGTTTTACCAAATTCTTGTCACATTTCTCGTTTAGAAAACTGTTACATCATCTTTCGCGGTTGTAAGGTGTGTCCTTAGAGAGGGGGGGTTCCACTGTATTTCGTGCGGTGTATATAAATCTCATATTGCGGGGTGAGTTGAGGTGTCTGGGAGGTGAGACAGACACCTCATGTTCATATGGTGTATGTTCGTTTGTTAACGGTTCCGCCCATTGCTCTGGGTGCGTGGTCTATGGCCCTAGTGCTATGACAGCCACCTGAGTATTATTATTATTATGGACTGTTGTTGACTTTGAAAGCCAACGCTAGATATCAAACCATTTGCGGGCAGTTATGTCAACAATCTTACCCCAATATTGCAGTGGCTAATAAAACTTCTCAGTTTAACCCTATGAATTCTTACATTAATTAACCCCTAAAGAGCCATGTAAACTAGCAGGAATAACCCTTTAGCATATCCCAAGATCTGTAAAGGCCCTGAGATTAACTTCTTCAAGACTTCCACTCTCTCCGAGGAAATGAGGACACCTCTCTAATATGGACACTTTCTTCCTTCCCATTGGTGTCCAGATTTTAACCCCTGGATTTTAACCCCTGGATAACTGCTGTGTGAGCTTACAACTCTTAGAAACCTACTGATTTAGCATGGCAAAATCAAGGTGTGGGACACTGTAGCTAGGAAGCCATAGGTTACACTTTCATCAATCAGAGAGTGGTCCACTCATATTACTACTGACTTGCTAACCTCTTTCACTATCTCACAGAGTCTGTTGCCATGGTAACTGTAGTACATAGTCCCCTCCCTGAATACATATGTATATACCTGTACACATTAAAAAATTGGCTCTCTCTCTAGGCAGAAAGGGGTTTTAACTTAAAATGACGGAGTCAGACACCAGCTGCAGTCCGGAGCATGGTAACGGGCTCTCTTCCATCTCACACCACTGCATTCTTCATGCCGTTCAGGCTATCGCGCCGCGGAAAGGGATCAGTGAGGTGAGAAGGAGAGGGTTAAAGAGAGAGAGAGAGAGGAGGAGAGGGTGGGAGAGAAAGAGAGAGAGGAGGAGAGGGGGTGGGAAAGAAAGGGAAGGATGTTTATTTGAAGGTGGGGGAATGTTGCACTTTTACGAGCCCTTAAACTCCTTATGTCAACAACCAGGTCACAAGGCAAGGTAAACAACCAAACTACACGTCAACTCTCTTTTCCACATTTGGTATATACACACTCCAGCTCCGGCTAAAGTATAGGTTTGGCTTTTTATTACAGCTGCATTTACTACTTAATTTTATTACAGCTGCATTTACTACTTAACAATTGTTTGTTTTCTCACCTCTGTTCAGCTACTGCCCCAGTCAGGGTCACACAACATCAGGTCCTTCTGCAAGGAACTCGCTCAACTCGCTCGAAACTCGTCAAGCGAGAAACTCCTGTTTACAATCGAGGAGGAACTGGTCCAGCCGATCGCCATCCAGAACTTCTTCTCGGGAGTAACCAGCGAGCACAATTTCACCAGCACCATTGAAAAGGCTCTGGTCGAAGCGACAAACGTCGCGGGAATCGATTTGGGCAAACTGCACCGCACCTGCTGGGAATATTACAGGGAGGCGAAAAAAGGCGAAATTTCGTTTCCGAAATGGCTGACGAGTGCCTGCATGTTCCGATTGTGGCTGACGTTTAATCAGTGCCTTGACTGACGGGGACACTTGCGTCATGGCAACCGTTACCATGAACGAGATTCTTCACCGTATCATCGTCCTGTGCAGCTACACGTGGAATGACAGTTATGGAGTTAAAGAGGCGGCAAGGGGGGCGGGGTTTACGTACCCGGAATTTCTGGAATGCATCACCGACTACTTCGAGATGTTCAAACTTAGCACTTCTCTCACTGCTGAGGTGGGTCACTTAGGGGTTAAATTAATTCATCTCAATGGGGTTACATTTAAAAGTTGTCATGCTTGCTGTACACTATTAGAATCAGGACACCTCACTAATCAGGACACCTCCTAATCAGGACACCTCACTAATCAGGACACCTCACTGATCAGGACACCTCTAATCAGGACACCTAACTAATGAGGACTATTTCGTATGTACTTACAAGAGTGTTACCACGGCGATAGTGAAGCGAAAACTTCACCACAAAATCAACTTCTTCTCTCCCCTATCGCCACAGGTGATATCTGACCTAGAAGACGAGATAGTGAACGGAGTCCTAAAGAAGGGGTACCTGGAAAAGAAAGGTCACGTCCGTCGTAACTGGCGACGACGATGGTTCATTCTCAAGAGGACCATCCTCTCCTACTATTCCACCGACAAGAAGGTCTTCAAGGTATGTATGATGTAATGATGACGTCACTTCTTTTGTTCCCCGCTCTTGATCTGCTCATCCCACTTTTTCTAAACTTCTCAAATTGTAACTACCTTTTATAGAGAGGTGCCTTTTATAGGGAGGTGTCCTTTATTTAGAGTATATAGTACTGTAATATGTAACATGCCCCGCCCCCTCCATCGTTGCTAGGGAGAGTTGGTTCTGAATGCCCAGACAAAGGTCAACTCCCTGGACGACAAGGGTAGCCGGAGGAACATGTTCCTAGTTACCTGCGGAGCCACAGAGAAGCCATTCACCATCTCCGCCGACGACCAGAAGATGAAACACGATTGGATGCTCGCCATCAGAAAAGTGGGTGTGGTCAGGGGGCGTGGCTTTGAATCTATGCAACTGAATAGGAACTGACTTGTGTGTAAGGATTCATGGAAATTTCATCAGCAAAAAAATTTCAGATGGGCTTCCCACTCAATAGTGCTCTTACTGAGAGTAAATTAATGTTCTCACTTTCAGTCTCTCCTCCTCGATCTCTCGTATTCTTTCTCTCTCTCCTTCCTCGATCTCTCGCAGGCCATAGCTCTAGCAAAGGTGGCAGAAGGAGAGCCTCACGCACAGGAGAGGCGAGAACTGGAACAAGCTCTGTCTGGTTTCTTCCTCCTGAAATACGGGACGGACCAACCGCTCCTTCGTCGCCAAGACAGCGACATACAACACATGAAACACCACACGACAAAGAGAAAGTTCCGGAACATCGAGAAGATTACCAAGGAGCTCGAGGCCACGCCCACCGGCCACGCCCACTCAGAGGAGGACGACGATGAGAGAGATGATTACGTACCCATGAAACCGGGATACACACACGAGGGAGATTCGAGCACCTCAGATGAAGATGGGTACTGTCACATGGAGAAAGTGAAGTAAGTACTTATGTAGTGTGTACAGTGAAATTGAAACCTCTGACAATGGAATAAAGACACCTCTCTCCATAAGGAGACTCCATAAGGACACTTGGTTCTGCCCCATACTAATACATAGGGACACCTCTCTATAAGGAGGCTTGGTTCTGCCCCATACTAATACATAGGGACACCTCTCTATAAGGAGGCTTGGCTCTGCCCCATACTAATACATTAGTGTATTATACTACCTAATAATGGAGATGCAGATATGGAATGTTTGGTATGCAATTTACCATTAAAGGTGACAGCTAATAATATTCATGTACACACCTGCTCCATGCTAATCCTCATATGCTAAAGATGAATAATGTTATTGACCCTTTCGTCACTGAATACTATTAACCCTTTCCCCACCAGACTCAACGGTACGTCAGTTGCTAGCAGCAGTAGTGGACCGGTCACTCCCTTGACCGTCGGCTCCGACAGAACTTTAAATTTTCCCCTCCCCATCTCCGGGAAATTCGGTAGCCAAGACGACGTGTTTAACCCCGACGGAACGGGGTTAAAGAGCCCGGACAGACCGGCCCAGCAGCTGCCAAAGGCAGACCCAGCTGCCAAGAGAGAGAAAACCGGTTTGGAGACTCGTTTTACGAGGAATGTGGGCCGGAGCCGGCGCGCTACATTCCTGGAGACAGATATGTAGACATCAAACATAACACGGACAGCGTTTTTGAGGGTCAGTCTCAAAATTTTAACTGATGAATCAGTAAAAAATTTACCATCAAAATTTTTGCCATTGGTTTAGTTTAATTTTTCATGATGTTACAGAGTCTCAGTCGCCTCCAAAGACCACACCCACTGACTCCGCCCACCCACAGCAAGAGTCTTACCTCACCATCCTCCCCTCCCCGAAAGCCACACCCCCTCCTGAGGACTTCCCGAGCCCCACCCACCCCACCAACGGTCCCCCCGTCCCTCCTAGAAGATGGGTATATACACATTTGAACCCTATATTTCATCAATCGCACGAGTTTTAGCAGTGGGTTCCAGCCAATTTTTCTTATGTTTGTGATTTTCAGGCACCGTGCACCATAATAAAAGGCATGGAATATTAATTATTTAACTGTATTTTTGGGAAACTTCCATTTCATCTGTTTGTAATTTTCAGTGCAGCAAATGAGTTACGTACGTGTAGTTCACTTGTGTTTAGACCCAGTGGACACCTGGAGTTTCCTCTCTTTCTCTCTCCTCTCTTTCTCTCTCCTCTCTCCCTTCTTTCCCACTCCTCCTCGCTCTCGATCTCTTCTCTCTCCTCTCTCCCTCCTCCTCCCTTCTCCACGCTCCTCTCACTCCTCTCTTTCTCTCACTCGCTCTCTCCCTCCTCTCATCCTCTCTCCTTCTCTCTCCCTCTCCCTCTTCACTCCTCTCCCTCTCTTCTCCTCTCTTTCTCTCTCCTCTCTTTCTCTCTCCTCTCTTTCTCTCTCCTCCTTTCTCTCTCTCCCTTCTTTCCCATTCTCTCTCTCCTCTCTTTCTCTCTCCTCTCTCCCTTCTTTCCACTCCTCTCTCCTCTCTTTCTCTCTCCTCTCTCTTCTCTCCTCTCTTCCCTCTCCTCTCTTTCTCTCTTCTCTCCTCTCTCCTCTCTCCCTTCTTTCCCATTCCTCTCTCCTCTCTTTCTCTCTCCTCTCTCCCTTCTTTCCCCTCCTCTCTCCTCTCTTTCTCTCTCCTCTCTTTCTCTCCTCTCTCCTCTCCTCTCTCTCCTCTCTTTCTCTCTCTCTCTCCTCTCTCCTCTCTCCCTTCTTTCCCATTCCTCTCTCCTCTCCTCTCTCTCCTCTCTTTCTCTCTTCTCTCCTCTCTCCTCTCTCCCTTCTTTCCCACTCCTCGCAGCACATCACCAAACCCTCGCAGACGCCCAGTTCACCCCTCCCCTTCCTCCCCCTCCTCCTCCTCCTCCTCCCCATCCCACCCCCTCCCTCCCTCCTCTCTTCCCGTTGGTGGAGGATTATTCTTCAACGACGAAGACCCTCCTCCCCCCCCTCCTAGAAATAGTGAGCTCCCATCTCTCCTCGTTCATTAGTCAACAGACATCAATACATTTGCCGGTATAATTGCCGAGCGCGTTAGCATGAGGCAACTACTCCGGGTTGTATTCTCGCGATATGCGTACGTACGTCGTCAATTAGTCACGCTTAGGAATGTCAATTAGTCACCAAAAGGAAGTGTAACTTCCGTCATTCGTAGGAAGTCTAGCTTCCGCCGTGCGCGCAGATTCATAGGAAGTCTGGCTTCGGGCGCAGTCAGTAGAGCGCGCGCACGAGCGGCCTCAGTCGGACTGTTTACGCATTGGCTGGCAAAATATGCACGTGCGCATTCCTAGTATTCACTATACCCACTGTTAAAAAATGGTTTGGCTGTAAAAATCACTGCGATTGTTTCGTATATGACTGTCTATATGTATAGACTCACCACCAAACAGTCCCCCACCAGTTATTATTAAAACCCTAATGCCAAATGCCAAATGCCCGTGGCTGGCTAAGGGTTAATTCTTGCAAACAATGCCATCTCTCCCCACAGCCCTATCTCCCCTCTCCTCCCCCACTCACACTTCCCCCACCATCACCACCTCTTCCTCCCCGCAAGTTCCCGCCAGACGTAAAGTCTCCACCCCAAACCACACCCCTACTGATAACATCACTGAGAGTGCAGAGTACAAAGAAGACGTCGGCAGACTGCTGAAGAAATTCCAGAGCACTGGCACTGTTGCCCCTGGCAACACTGGGACTAAACAAAAGCCTACCCCACCCCCTCGGTTACACTAGCTCCCATTTTCTTTGTGTTGCCATGACGCTGCGTGCTACCATGGCAACAATAATAGTTTTCTCACAATTATTATGTCGTTGGAATTATTACGTCGAGTTCTGTAAGCATCTCATAAATAAACCTTTCACTTTCACAATCTCTCTTTATTTCTTTTCTGAAGAAGTTTTGTGTATCATTTTTATGCACATCACATTAAATTTTTCTTCATTTATGATTTCCTAATTCCTTTCCAACATTAATTGTTCATTTATTGATGATGTAACAAAAAGTTGAGCAAAATGTGAACTTTGAGACAAACATTCACGAATTTAACCCTTTGGTTTGGACGCCATGGGTATATATCTCCTTAAATAAGCAGAAATTGATGTAATTCTTATAGACTTATGGAGGCTCTGGGCATAATATATATGCCCGTGGCTGGCTGAGGGTTTTAAGGCATTATATTATATATAGCCCCGGGGCTCTCTACCCAATTATCATGGTGGTTTAGTGTAGTATATACTGGCTGATGACTGCATGCATTCCCAAAACACTTCACGTGGCTTGCAAATGTTCTCTGCTCTGCAAGTTTTTTGTCGCAAGTTGTCATACAATAATGTTCTACATACAGATCAGAGGTTGTCATCGTCAGTTTGGAGAGTTCAAAGGTCGTCGTCATGATAGTTGGGTAAGGAGATGAGGAATGTGCTGGTGGGCGTGGTCTCCCGAGTGTGACGTCATTTCCTGTCGTATCTCCTCAACAACTTCCTCCCCTGTCCTGAGTCCAGTCTGCAGTGGAATAGAATGGCGACGAGGGCCTGTGTATGTGGATGATGTAATGATGATGTCATACCTTTACTGCAAACTTGAGAGCTTGTTCGGCTTCAACTGGTCTTCCAGTCTGCGGCGAAAGATGCAAGAGTATTTTTGAACAGAGAAAAAAATGTTTGCAAAGTGTGTGTGCTGTTCGTGAAGAAATTTTGCATGAGATAAGAAGTCCCCTTACAATCTAATGCATCAGCACTTATATCTATGGAACTAATATCAGCATTTGCTATGGAAAGGCGAAGGTTTTATCTCTCAATACGCACATTACGTATATATACCTTGAGGCAGACTAGGGTAAGGTAGGCCCAGGTGAGAGGATCTGTATTGTTCAGAATGTTGGCCTCACACAACGCTGTCTCGGACTCTCCCAACTCCCCCATCTGTGAGGGGGCGGGGCTTCGAGAGATGCTGATTAGTGGGCGTGGCTTACTTTGTAACAGGCCACACCCACTCCCCTCCAGGTCAGTCCTGATGGAGAGGCTCGGCAGGCTCTGAGATACATTTCTTTGGCTTGAGAGAACTGGCAAGAGGAGGGAGGGGGGAGGGTAAGACGATCATTATACATGAATGAACAGGATAATTATGTAACAGAAGACAATAAGACACACCTTTTTCTCATTGTAGAGGATGTGAGCGAGGTGGAGTAACGCACTGTGCTGATTAGGGGGCGGAGTTTGGAGCAAGAGACATCTCTCAAATGCCTGCTGAGCCTCCGGGAATTCCCCCAGTTGGTAGTGGGTGTGGCCTAACAGAGACCACGCCCACGAGCTCTGGAGTGGCAATTTTAATATCACGTTCATTCAGAAAGCTAGGAGAGACTGAGGAAATAATAACGTTTGGAGCAACATTGGAGGAAAAAAACGAAAGATAGGAGTAAAATTGGGAGAAAAAAAGGAAAGAAAAAACAAATAAATCACAGTCCTTGTTTGTCCTCTATTTAGACACCCACTGTATATACTACATACAGTATATGTATATACCTGAATGTCGGTCTGGAGTGCAGAGGTGAGGCAGTCCCTGGCCTGGGAGTAGTGGCCTCGGTGGAGGTGGAGTCTGGCCGCCAGGAGGTGGTAGAGAGAGGGCGGAGGTGAGGAGGAAGAGGTCACCACATGACCCAGACACATCTCCGCAAACTGGGGATACATAGAGAAACCAAATTCATACAGGATGGCAAAGGACGAGAGAAGAGACATGATTTTGCCTACTTAAAAAAAATTTTTCCCCCATGAAACGTCACAGAGTTTTTACATCTCAAAAGCTTTAGTGGGCATGGTACCAAAAATTTTTACTAGCAAAAATTTTCCTGCTAAACTGTTTCTTGGTGGTGGTTAGAGATTGACCTTGAGAGCGTGTACATCGAGAAGAAAGGAAGCCGTTTGTAGGAATACTGCCGAGCGTGGATCCTCTCTCTCCCTCTCATCCCCTGACGTAGTGGGCGGAGCTTCCGTTGTGGGTGGAGCTTCAGGGTGAACTTCGACCTTTGACGACGCTGTTGGCTCGTCAGTTCCACTGGCCTCCTGGAGAAGAGGGAATGGGGATTGAAATTCCGTGAGAATGGGAACCAGATCTTCACCGCGGGAGAAAGGTCTTGCTGTTCCCCCGGAGTGGTTGAAGGACCAGAGCCTGTGGTAGCCTCTCTCTCTCCTTCTCCTCCTTCTCCGTCTCTTTCTTCTTCTTCTTTAAGACCATCGTGTGTGTGTGTGTGTGACATCATGCGAAAGAATACACTCCATCGAAAGAAGTATATACGTAAATGTAGGTGGCTGACATACCTTCTCTGGTTCCTTCTCTGTGTGAGTCCCTCGCTCTGATAGTGTCTTCCTCTCTCCCTCCTCCCTCTCTCCCTCCACCGATCGTGAGGTAGGTTCTCTCCTTCCTCCCCCTCCACACCCTCACAGCTTCCTCGTAACACATCTCTTCCAGCACCCTCTCCGTCTGCATCTCGTAGAACAACCCTGGAGACAAGTCACGTGACTGTCACATGACCTGGGGGTGTGGTCACATGATTAGAATACCTCTCATGCACCAGGCGATGATGTTGGAGGGGTCAGAGGTCGTTGCTAGCTCCATTACCTCCGAACCCTCGTCAAATCTTTCTCCAATGGCACTGAGCATTCCAAAGAGGAGAAGACTGGGCAGAGAGAGGGGAAGGGGGAAAAATAATCATGATTGACCCTACAAATTTATTTGCTTTCGCTTAAAAATAGAGTGAAGGGAAAAAAGCGAGAAAAAAGCGAGAAAAAATGGAGAAAAGGGGAGAAAAAAGGGGAAAAGCGAGAAAAAAGAGAGAAAAAAGAGAGAAAAAAGAGAGTGATGGGAGAAAAAAGTGAGAAAGAGATGAAGAAATTTTAAACTCAGTGCTGACAACCCTTTAGTCAAAAGTTCTACTGAAACAAGTTTCCTTCCTGGAAAGAAGCAAGAGAGAAAGAGACGCTAGTTCTCTTACGCAGGTATCATCTTCTGGTCGAGGGCGATGGCTTCCTTGAGACACTGCTCGGCCTTGTCCAGCTGACCAATCAGAAGACAGAACACTCCGTAGTCGTACCAGTACTGTCCCACATGTCCCCCTCCTGCCACTCTCTGCAGACAATCAGACAGACAGAGGATTATCTGATAAAAAGTTCTCCTCCGAGTGCAGTTAGCAAGCTGGCAGTCAGCAACCAAGAAAAATGTCAATGAATAGGAAACTCCTATCTTTCCCCCCCAGGGCTGCAAAATGTTCAGATTTTCCCAGAGTATTTACGTTCCCGCACATTACTTTTGGGCAGATTTTGCGAGCCTCGGGATTTTATACATTTAGCTAAGTTGTCTTCGAATATACTTTCACAACGTTGCCATCTTTCCCCCTCCCAGTCTCTCACCTCCTGATAGTGTCTTTCTGCTAGTTGATAATCTTGAAAATCCTGTGCAGAATGAACGATTATGTCAATTAGTGTAAGTCTGGAATCTCACGAATCTGACCTCTGCTTCGGTAGCAAAGTGTTTCAAGAGGTCAAAGTCCACGGGAGTGGGTGTGGTCTCAGGAGGATTGTCCAATGAGGTCGCCTGTGGAGGATGGAGACATTCCAACAGCGAACACATCAGTGGATAAAATACTTCGCCCAAGATCCTAGAAAATTTGGTGTATTTTAGCATTGACTTTATGCAGGACATTTCAGAAGGTCCTGAGAGGTATATAATCAGGACGTCCTGAAAAGTAATCAGGATATCCTGAAAGGCAATTTGAAGTCAGACTGACCTGGTGCAGTCCGACGTGCAGCTGGTCTGAGAGGAAGGTATAGAGGGAGGAGAGGAAGGCGTGGCAGTGGGCGGAGTCTGAGAACCCCGTCCGATTCCCATACCGCTCCCTGACCACACCCACCACTGCATGCTGACGGGTGAAAGAGAGAGACACAATTTCAACATCTCGAAATGAGAATGTACAAACTACTGGAAGTGGCAATGGTTTTTCCTGGCTAAATACGACTTGTCTCTAAGAATGATTGAGAGCAAAAGTGAATATTTACAAAAGTATGAGTAAATGTATGAGTAATGTAGGAGCTCACATGACTATTATGATAAGATTGGGTAATAGGGTATTGTGTATAATACTTACCTTCAGCTGCTCCTTGAATGTGTGGTACTTCCCATTGGAGTTGAGATGTTGTAACAACTGCCGCTTTCTTGAGAGATAATAGAAAAAGATACTTACTTATTGGTGAGCCCAGCAAGCCCATCTACCTACTGTAGTAGTTGTCAAAATAGCAAGTTTTTTCATTTTTTTGTGAGACTGTCCATACTACTGCTACTATGCTATTGAAATACACATGTTCGCTCATCAACAAGGTGTTCATTTCCCTCTACCAGACTGCATAATTATGTAGAGTGTCATTGATTCACCTCTCGTCAATGTCAGCCCCGCCCCCAGCTCCGCCCCATCCGAACATGTCTCTGTATTCCATCAGCAGTGAGCCCGAGATGGTTGCCGTGACGTCACGGAATCCAGTCAACGCCCTCTCGGCCCCTCCCTCTCTCCTCGGCACCGCCGCCCGCTGCGGAATGTACTCTGACACCCTGGAGGAGAGTTAACCCTTTTCACACTCGCTTATCTTAACCCTTTACATTCTTCTTTATATTCTCTGGTTTTAACCATTTATATTCCTTCCATTTTACCCTCCAAGCAGTAAAAGGCAACAAATTTAGAACATACCCAGTGGTACACATGTCTAGCTGATGATGAATTTTTAAACTATTATCAGGGCAAAAAATCTATTGTTCTCGTGATTCTGAGATTACAAACTATTTTTCCAGATGATGTAATGAGTGGATCACATGATGTCATGTGACCCCTACCTCTGTGCCAGAGCTGACAGTGGTCTCTGAGGCACCAGTGGTTTCAACAGCTCCGCCTCCATCCACAGATAAGTCCCCGCCTCTGCGTAGACCACGCCCTCTCTGTTGTCGTCATGGTGACCAGTGGAGGGGTGGATGGGGGAGGAGGAGGAGGGGGGATTGTCTGTGGTGTCGGGGAAGATGTGGTGGTCGTCTGCAGACTGAGACACTGCGGAGCCACTCTTGAGGGAGGAGTCCTGTTTCCTCCAGGATTTGCCTCCTCCTCCTCCTGTTGGGGTCAATTATACGTACACGTGATTCCGTCAGAAGTCAGGAACTCAGACGATGAAATGTTTGTACGTACCTCCAGCTGGTGTTTTCTTGACAGACGGAGAGGAGATGGAGGGTGACGTCAGAAGACTGGTATACTCTCTCCTTATCTAACAACAACGAGACACAAAACCAAGCACTGAACGGCAGAGTAAATTTATAGGCAGAGAGTAAATTTATAGGCAGAGTAAATTTATAGGCAGAGAGTAAATTTTAACGGCAGAGTAAATTTATAGGCAGAGTAACTTTTAAAGGCAGAGAAAAGCACTCAAATTCGACAGGCAGAATAAATTAGAAGAGAAAAACTTTACTCCAAGCCATTAGCTCCATGTCTACGTACGTATGTACCTTGGAAGCAACGTCAGAGGGGGAGAAATGGTGTAGTGTGAAGGCTCCAGCGATCTTGGTGTTGCCCAGGATAGAGGAGAGGGGAGAGGTTGAGATAGGCCACTCCGTGGTGAGAGACAACCGCCTCCTCTTCCTTTCCCTTACCTTTACCTGCCTGGATAGAGAGGGAGAACACAGCTCATGTCGGTGGAACACCTCTCTAAAGACACCTCTGAAATGAGGACACCTTTCAAATAAGGACACCTTTTCAATTCACTAATATCTTCTGCCCCTCAAGATTAGAGTGTATTCAAAATTACAATAAATTTTTAGAAGCACGGTTTATACGACTTTTCAAGTCTCAAAGGTCTTCTATACATGCATCTGCCCCAGAGGACAGTAGTTTATGCTGTCGTCATTTCAGTTGCCGTACGCTACCTGAGAGGTGGATCTGATGATCTCGACAGGCCAGAGCGGTGAGAGGGAGAGAGAGGAGAGGAGGGAGGAGGAGGAGGTGGGAGGTAGCCATGTCCTCACCTCCCTCCCCCACTCCACACTGGGTTTGGCACACTCTGAACAGCGACGGAATGAAACATCCTGAGGAAAATGAAGGTGCAGTGCGTGAATTGCTAGAGTTAACTATAACCGAATGTTACTATTCCATACTCCAGCTATAGTAGAACTAATATTGATGGTGGGATTGTCTTTTCTTCCACTCACGTTCTTTAAAGAAATGCTAAATCGTTAAGACCCTTAGTATAAGGGGGTATTAGGAGCGATAGGAAGTTGGCAATTGGTTTGAATGTTATACTATTCCATACTCCAGCTATAGTAAAACTAATATTGATGGTTTGATTGTCTTTTCTTCCACTCACGTTCTTTAAAGAAATGCAAAACCGTTAAAACCCTTCGTAAGGGAGAAGGTTACAGCAAGATGAGATAAACTGACCTGTTGACCTCTGACCTCCCCAGTCTCGTCTTCAAGAGCCCATTTCTCTCTCCTCCCTCCGTCTCCTCTCCCTCCCGGCCACTTCCAGTGGGTGTGGTCTTCTCTTGACTCCGCCCTCTTCATCATACCACCTGACGAGACACAAATTAAACAAAACGAAGAAGAGTTGCCCTGGTGTACATGTAGTTGACTTGTTTGCCTTCCCTTCCCTTTCTACATACCTCGTCACCAAGTTGTTGACACATACATTATAGCAGCAGTGTAAAGGTGTGTGTGAAATGAATACAGACATACCAGGGAGGGAGAGAGGAGAGCCGGGGAGAGGGTGGGGAGTGGAGAGTGTGAAGTGTGAGGACGGGGAGTGGGTGTGGCTCCAGGCACTCGGGAGAGAATGAAGAGATCGGAACCTCAGGAATAGGACATTGCTGAAGAGACAGAGAGAGAATGAGTTTGTTCAAAGCTGGTTCGTTGATGTGGACACACACATAGGGCACGGCTTGTGTTGGAGAATACAGTTACAACGCAATGCAATCCCCCATTTTGATGCGTAGGCACACTGCCAGAAAGAGGGAGAGAGAGAAAGAATATACAGTACTGAAAAGGATTCCAAATAAAGCACACCTCTATACAAAAGCCACATCGTTCTGTCTGTACATTACCTCCAAATAAGGGATATGCCTCTGAATAAAAGATTTCCCAAAGGTTTCCCTTATTAGGAGGTGTCACAGTACAGTATGTATGTAAGCAGAGAGTGAAAGATTTAGAGACCTCTCGGTCAGTTGTTCCTCTGAAAGAAGCTCCTGTGACGTATTTACTTCGATATCCACCTCTCCCTCCCCTCCTCCTCCTCCCTCTCCTGCTCGCTGCAGAGCAGACGACAGCTGGATGATTCTCTCTCCGCAGACCAGAGGGAGAAGGTCAAAGGTCAGGTGGCCCAGCTCTGCCGTCTTTTCTTCTTTGCTCTTCTTGTCCTTTGGTAGAACCTCACATAGAGTGACTGCAGGTGGAGAGAGAGAGAGAGAGAGAGAGAGTGGTGAACTTCGGAATAAGGGGCACCTTGGAGACATTGAAAGTGTCCTCTTTTCAGAGGGATTCTTTGTTAGGTATACTGTATATACCTAGGTACGTAGTATAATTATTGATACACTAATGTAGAATAACAGTGACCCTTATGGAGAGGCTCCATTGTCTGGGATTTCACAGCGTTACGGTAGAAGAATTGCTCAACTGACCGACGATAGGGTTCTGAATGAGTTTATCAACAGTCTCTCTCCGACTGGGATCACAATGCAGAGTCCCCTCCACACCTCCTCCCTCCATCACACCCTCCCCAGCCTCACACGTGACCCGCCCACTCTCACACATCACCTCACTCCCATGTTCCAGTCTCAGGAAACACGTCGGAGCATCACTCCTCGGAGATCGCTGTACCACCGAGAGAGAGAGGGGAGGCAGTAACAAATATATCAGGAAATTTCGCACAGCAAAAGAGAGGCTTACAATCATGCAGTTACAGCGAGAAAAAGAGACTGCTGCCAAAGATGTGTTCTTGTGAGTATAGTACTTACTTTGCTAGAACTACTCAACTCACCACTTTCCTGCAATCTTTCACAGTGACGGTAACTACCACGCCATCACGAGTCATTCTCTCGCCTGGCGTCTCCGGCTGTGGCTGGAGCAGGGAAGAACTACAGCTGACCTTTCTTTATTGATCGACGTCGCCAATCTCCATGACAACGCGATATATTAACCCTTTTCCGACTGGTAAATTTAATCACGTGCCACCCACGCGGTTCTTTCGGAAGCAACTGCGCGAGCGGGCAGCATGTCAGAGGGAGGTATGGAGAGTGGAGAGAAGCAGGCGGTCAGCGAGGAATACGCGGCCAAGGCAGAGACCATGAAGAATAAAGCCAACGAATTCTTCAAATGTGAGCTGTACGTCTCACAAATACCGTGGGCTCGGGGTTAAAACTGCCCACCGTCTCTTCCAGTTTTTGGTTGCATAATTGTGGGAGATGTTCTGTTGTTTAGTTCATGAGGGAGTTTTCCTGATCCCATACCCCATTCCTCTGTCCTGATTCCATTCCCCCGTCCTGATCCCATACCCCTGTCCTGATCCCATACCCCATTCCCCCGTCCTGATCCAGCACAGCGGTACCAGGAAGCCATAGAGTGGTACAGCAAGGCAATTGATCTGGACCCGTCCATCGCCGTGTACTATGGCAACCGCAGTTTCGCTCATCTCAAGATGGAGAGCTATGGATACGCCCTTAGCGACGCCACTACAGCCTTAGATATCGACAGAACGTACATCAAGGTACAAGGTACTTTGTAGATTAATATTATTAGCTGCAACATTTGAATATGGTACTCTTTAGCGGAAAAAACAGTAACAACTTTATTTTACAGCATTTTTGCTACGTCGATGTACTACACAATGAACTTGCTGTGACTGTTGTTTTTTAATGTACACAGGGCTACTATAGGAGAGCGAGTGCAAACATGGCTCTGGGGAAGTTCAAGAAAGCTCTTACTGACTTTGAAGCTGTGAAAAAGGTGAACTGCAGATGCTGCACGCTTTAATGAAAGAAACCAAATTCATCTTTCTCTCCACATTTCTCTCCAAAGGCACGGCCGAAAGACCAAGACGCTGTGAACAAGTACAACCAATGCAACAAAATTGTTCACCAACAAGCATTCGCCAAGGCAATCGCCGTGGAGTCCTCCAAGAAGAGTGTTGCCGAATCAATCAACCTGGACACAATGGGTGGGTGTGGTCACGTGATGTCACATGATTTCATATGATGTCATGTGACCTCAGTCGTGGAGGAGACGTACGAGGGACCGAGATGGGAAGAGGGAGAGATGGCGGTGGAATTCATGACTGGTCTCCTGGATTGGCTGAAAGAAGAGAAGAAACTGCATCGAAAGTATGCGTACAAGGTTAGACAGGGGTGGTGTCCTGATAGTTTAGGACAGGGTCGTGGAATGGTGTCCTGATTGTTTAGGACAGCGTTATGTAATTGTCGAAGGAGTCCTGATATCTTTACTTGTTTTAGGACAGTGTTTTGAACTTGCCGGACCGTCACTTTTCTCTCAACTTCCCCTCAGAATTGAGTACACACAGACACTCCTCATTTTCAACTCTCTAAGGGTTTAAAAAACCTACCTCACCGCTTTTAATATCAAAAATAATGAGTAATCCGTGTAAATTGATCTCTCAATAAAAAAAACTGTTCCCCTGCAGATATTGCTGAGATCGAAGGAGATATTTGAAGCGCAGCCGTCGCTGGTCGCGGTCTCAATCCCTGACTCCAGTGACAGATTCACTGTGTGTGGAGATATACACGGACAGTTTTACGATCTTCTCAACATCTTCACACTCAACGGGCTGCCTTCACAAGACAACCCATATGTATCCTCAACTGCAGTCATGTGACCTCGCATGATAGTCACGTGACCTTGTTTGTTGCCTTAACGACTGTTGCCAGCTGTTTAACGGAGATTTCGTAGACAGAGGTTCGTTTTCTGTGGAGGTCATCCTCTCGCTGCTAGGGTTCAAAGTTCTCTATCCCGACCATTTCTTCATGTCTAGAGGTGATGTAATGATGACATCATACGCAATTTAACTCTTTCTTCACCGATGACTGAATTACTGAAATGCTAGAATTAACCCTTTATATATGTGTAGATTTAACTCTGTTCAACTTCCAATGGACCAAAATTTAAATTTAACCCTTTCCCCGCTGCAGGAAACCACGAGAGTATAAACATGAACCAGATGTACGGGTTTGAGGGAGAAGTGAGGGCGAAGTACTCGCAGCAGATGTGGGATCTGTTCACGGAGATATTCAACTGGCTCCCACTGGCCCACCTCCTCCAGTCCAGAGTACTGGTGACGCACGGAGGGCTGTTCAGTAGGGACGGAGTGAAGGTGTCGGAACTTGTCGACATTGATCGCAACAGGCAACCTCCGGAGGAAGGTTGGTACTCCACTGTACTCCGCCCTCTCCGGAGGAAGGTTGGTACTCCACTGTACTCCGCCCTCTCCGGAGGAAGGTTGGTACTCCACTGTACTCCGCCTCTCGGAGGAAGGTTGGTCTATACTCACTGTACTCCCAGCTCTCCGGTAGGAAAGGTTGGTACTCCAACGTACTCCGCCCTCTCCACTGCCAACTGCAGTGGACCACTCATGATAGCATACCTGTGTATAAGTGGCTCACACTAAAAAGGTCCGCTCAATTATGTAGCGGACCGTTATGCGATATTGAAACTGTTAAAATCATTCTCATGATCATTTTGTGACGTGCAAAAATGTTATTATCGCAGATAACCTTGTCTAGAGTGCCATGTTGCGAACGATGCTGTCAACCTCGTGAAGTTCGGAACAAGTTGGACCTGAATGAAAATCGTTTCGTGCCCCAATCGTGAAGTTGTTCCACTGTACAGTTCTCTGTCCCTCCCAGGACTCATGTGTGATCTCACTGTGTCAGAGCCACAGTACATCCCCGGCGCCCCCCCCCCACCCCCCCCCCCCCCCCCCCCACCCCCCCCCCCCCACCCCCCCCAAGCAAACGAGGGGTCGGAGGAGTTCAGTTCGGCCCCGACGTCACCGAGGAATTTCTGCTCCACCACGCAGAGCTGTACGTTACCGTGGCGACTGACCTCTCTGACCACGAAAATGAGACTCTCTCCCTACGCGAGTCTGGTGATAAGAAGCCACGAGCGTGAAGGAGGAGCGGATGACGAGTGGCTCATGGTGGGAAGTGTATCACTGTTTTCTCAGCTCCCAAACTACTGGTAAGTCTACCTGTCCCCCTTCTCCCAGGTGTCCTTTATAGAGAGGTGTCCCTATGTATTAGTATGGGGCAGAACCAAGTGTCCTTTATAGAGAGGTGTCAGTTGATTGCAGGGTCGAGGTTTTCACTGCCTCTCTCCATCTCTCTCCGACTGTTTGCAGTGATCAGATGGGCAACAAAGGAGCATTCATCACTCTTTCCACAGACCTCAAACCTCAGTTCACACATACGAGGCTGTGGTTAGTCAATACATCATCATTACATCATCCACAATGACATAATTGTCAAATTATGTTTCTCTTCAGCCACACCCAAAGAGAAAGCCTATGCAATACGCCAGTCCCTTATTTGGCCTTTTATCATAATGAAAGTTTTTGTTATTTGCTATGATGTCATTTATACGGAATGGAACAGAGACATGAATTGGAATGGGGAATGGAATTATGTGGTATGGGATCCTATGTCTTTGAGTGATGCACCAGCCGACCCTCTGGGGGCGGGGCCTCGTTGAGAGTGGTCTGGCTTCCAACCGATGAAGTAGAGTATTTGAAACGTAGCTGAAACTTCATTCTCTTTCTCTTCGGCTCCAAACATGTCTGCAGGTAAAGTGTCCGGATTACAGTGGAACTCCTATTAATGAGGACATTTTTCTTTCACCAAGAACTGTTCTTGCGTGCAATTTAACCCATGAAATAAGGACACTTAACTAATGTGGACATCCAGATCACTAGGGTTCCACTGTATTGGGAGTCGTGGTGGTGTTCTTACCATGGTAAATGGCGGCAGCAGCCGTCAGGGTGGAGCGTCTGATGTAATGTCTACGGTTCCACGCACAGTTGCTCTCCCCCATCCCTGTCACATGACATAAGACAGAGGTCACATGATGCAGTCAGATGACTATTATTGTCACCTTTGAGGTCTTGAATCACTTCGTACATGGAGGGATAGTTGACCTGAATCTCATCCGTATCCTAAACAAGAAACAATATAGGTTTCTCTTAGGAGGAGGTCCGAAAACTAATACTAAGAGCTATATATTATGTGAAACATGCAGGTCTTGCCGGCTTGAAAATCTCATCAAGTATAATATACTAGCTGGAAGTTTTAATAGCTAGAGTAGAGAGAGAGAGAGAGAAAGAGAGAGGAGGGAGGGAGAGGGAGAGAAAGAGAGAGGAGGGAGAGAGAGTAAAGAGAGAGAGGAGGGAGAGAAAGAGAGAAGAGAGAGAGAGGAAGGAGAGCTCACGATAGTGGTGATAGTGAAGCCAGCTCTGTTGAGGAGACTTCCGATGTCAGATACTTGCACAAATGGAGATATGTGAGGTGAGAACCCCTGGACGAAAAAGAAAGAGTTGAATATTTCGTACTTTTAGGCTGAACCTATCCCAATCTCGCCCAAATTTCGCTGTCCCCCCTAGTAAGGGGTGAACGATTTCGCATTTGTTGTAGGCACAAGAGTGGAAATAGGACAAATCAACTATCCTAATACTTGACTACAGTTGAGTAATGAATGGTAACAGTTCCATCTTGGTGAACCTATCCCACTCTCGCCCCAATTTTGCTGTCCCCCCTAAATAAGGGTGTTGAACGATTTCGCATTTGTTGTAGGTACAAGAGTGGAAATAGGGACAAAACCAACTTCCTTAATACTTCGACTACAGTGGAGTATGGAATGTGAAAGGAAGGACAGGCCAAAAAACGACCCTGAACACCTTGACTATAGCTGCAAAGATGTTTAACACAGGGTTGGGCCTAAACTTTAACCAACCATCTGTGAAAGACCTACTATCTCGCCAGTGAACTGTAAGCTGTCAAATGTATTATACAATGAGGTTGAAATTGTGATGAGTAGCCAGCTTCATGTGACCCCTCACCCCTATCCCTCCTCCATCTCGGCCAGCTGTAGAGAACTCCGCAGTTCAAAGAGAGTATCGCCAGCAACATGCACCCACCAGAGGGGAGTCTGGTCTGAGGACTCTCACACCTCCTGAGAGACAGGAATCTCTTAAATAAAGAGCACCTGGACATTGAAAGCATAATTATTCGACCTGTCCCTTAATAATCACTAATGTATTAGTATGCGGCAGAACCAAGTGTCCTTTATAGAGAGGTGTCCTATTAAAAGAGGGTCCTTTTGTTCAGAAGTTCACTCTTTAATAATGAATTTTTTATAAATAGACAGAATCACCGATCAAGCACCAGGTAGTAGGTACATAACCCAATGCAACTGCAATAAAAAAAGCAAAAGAGATTCAAAAAGTGACGGAGAGACATATATACGGCTCTTACCTGAGATGGACATGATGAGATCAAAGCTATGTCAGAGAAAGGAAGGCAATGCTCCTCATCCACCACTGCACCATCAACTGGTACATGCGGGAGGAGGAGAGGGACGATGGCGGGAGAGCTGAAGAGAAGAGAGTAAAAATATAGAAATATTGTGTAGACAAAATGACAAATAACCCATCACTTAGCAGCAAAAAACATTTCACAAGTATTTTAGATTTGATTGATCTGTGAAATAGTGATGTATAAGCGAAGACTCAACGTTTTAACTCGCATGTTTTCTTCTAAATTTACTCACCAGGCATTTTCTGCCATGTCACACTGCACCAGGCAACCAGTGACATCACTGGTGGTGGCCAGTGGCAATGTGACTCCGCCCACACCCCATGTCGAGAAGCCAGGGGAAAGTAACTGGTGACGTCACACACTCTGTCCACTATCTGGGAAGCAGCACTGCACCGGACAAAATTATTGACCCTTATTCCCCAATGAATTTTTTGCGTTTTGCTGCTTGGTAAAATATTTCTGGTCCACCTCGTTCCGAATGTAGTCGTAGGTCTGTGCGTCAGGACTGGCGTGTGCTCTGTTTTTCTGACGTATCTTTGCAGTTCTGTCGAACACGTTCATTGCCCCGCGGCTGCTTGCTCTTCGTCTCCCTGGATGATATACAAACCGACAAAAGACGAAGTTTAGACTTTCTATATAGCTCACGTGCTCACCACGTGACAGATCATCGTTCCTTCCCCGAACCCGGTTTTGGAACAGCTGCAGAGAGCGAGAGTTGGCTAGTCTTCCTGCACGAGCCCCAAAACTGTTGCAGAAGACGGACATGCCCACTTTGTACAAGCGCATGCGGTATCACCGCGGCACTGTAAATACGCACGTGTGGTAAATATAGACGGATCCATAATCGCATGCGCGTGGGTAAGCAACCGAGATAAGTGCAAATGTAGTATAAGACAATACACATGTTGTGAAATTACATTCATAATAATAGAGAAAGTATCCAAAAAAGTTCAATGAGTTCAAAGTTCAAAGCATGATTGTTCAGTATCGTCCGTAGTAACCGCGAGAGGGCGGTGGTCCATATCCGTAGGGGGACCTCCCTCCTCCTCCTCCTCCTCCGTAGGAAGACCCTGATGGGGGGCCATAGCCGAAATTCCCCCTGCGAGGGGGCGGTGGGGGTCCTCCGTACATGGGGGAAGCGTAGGGGGGGTACATGGGGCGGTATCCACCATAACCTCCAGCGGGCGGGTATCCTCCTCCTCCTCTTGCATACCCACCTCCCCCTCCTCCGCCGCCGCTCCCATAGGGGTTTCTGTACCCTCCTGCATGTCCGTACCCTCCTGGATGTCCATACTGTCCTCTGTAGAGGGAGGAGGGGGGACAAGAAGGCGAGAGAGAGGGAAAAAAGGAGAGAGAAAGAGAAGAGACAAGAAGGGGAGAGAAAAAAAACAAGGAGAGAGAAAAAAACAAGAAGGGAGAGGGGAAAAGAAAAAATGAAGAACTCACAACACCCAGAAACAAATCTTTCCTTGAGAAACAATGAACTATGTCTGGAGGCTTCCTAACTGCGGCATTTTGAATGGAAAAAAACTAACTTTTTGGAGTAGATTTTGTGATAAGACTAGGGAGATCTCTTTAAAAGAGAGTGGGATAAAGCTGTGAGAAAGGATGAGAGGGGGGCCTTGTTGAAACCCCGCTAACCTGGGGGGTCCAAATCTCCCCGGGGTTCCACTGTGGGGTCGGTCGTATCGATCGTATCGCGGCCTCTTGTTCTGAGGGAACGAAGGCAGACCCAGCGCATCGTCCTTGTACTGCTGGATGATCTTGTTTGCCGCCTGGCCGTAGATCTCGGTGAAAATGACGTCATCGAAAACATTGTCCTTGGCAGGGACATGGAAGTTGGCTAGAGACAACAGAGGGAGATAAAAATGAATATATAGCTGTTGCACAATATTTACAACTGTTCTTGTCATAACCAAAGGCACTAATCCAGACTTTCCCAGTGGTTCAGAGCTTTGTCGACACTCAACTCTCGTGTTCATTACACTACTGTATGCCAAATGCCCAAAATTCGAGGATACGACAAAAAAATTCGTTGTTACAGTAAAACACTCTGAGCCAGTCCGCCCTGTGTGAACGCAAGTATTATACTCAAACAGCAATGCTGGCCATGTCACTCAGTTCAGCCAACTGCCTTTGTTTTTATCAACCCCTGCTGGCCCCGACTGGGCCACTCTTCCATGGCGCTTTCTCTGTGTCGGGGAACACTTCCAACAAATGAAGCTTCACCCATGAAACTCCAGTCCAAGCCCAGTGATCAATACACTCTTTCAACACACAGATGTTTCGATGCAGACAGTGTGTTCGAAGTTCTTGTAAAACCAGACTTCCAGTGTTTCGCAATCCAACCGATGGCTACCTCATGAGCAATCATCATCTTACTACCATTTATGGCAGTTTTATGACTGAGTGACAATGACCCCATAATATTTTGAAGCTCAAGGCTGGTTTATTCAAAGGAACGTTGCAATTGTCTTTACGTACGTACGAAGGGAACAGAAGTAAAATGATGTAAGAGAAAGAGAGGGAGAAAGGGGGGAGGGGTGCCTACCACACACTCTGAGATCATCCAGAGTTCAGAAGTTCCTTCACCAGGTAAGAGAGGGAGGAGGGGAGGAGGGAGAGAGAAGGAGATGTTGCAGTGCTCACTAAATACTATCGTACTCCATCGTATATACATACTTTTACAACGCACTTTATTGTTTAAAACGCACTTTAATCGTTTGAGGCCCAATATTTTAGCTTCTCCAGAAATACAAGGTCAGGAGAATGATAGGCAAGATTTGAACTCCACACGCCACAAAAACTCTGCTCATATGAACTGCAATGTACGTACTGAAAAGCCATATCAAAGCAGCTGGTCAACTACGTATATGACGTGATGTAATCCCAATACGATGGCCTGTTGAGAGATGGACACACACACACACACACAACAAAACATACAACAGAAAAGGCAGGCAGACGGAAGCCAGAAGAGACGCACGAATCAAGGCAGACTTTTCTTTCCCCACGTCGGAAACAGAGTTGCAGATGTCTCACATTGGAACGGAATATTGCAGATGTATGCTTCAAGCCAGATGTACAAGCAAGAGACTATGCTTCAAGTCCAGGAGTCATAAAGGCCATCAAGCGGACACGTATACAGGTCAGACTTACACACTCAGTAAAATGCCAGATTTTTACTCCCAAAGGCAGGGCGAGAATAAATAATGCTCTACGCCACAGTATATAATCAATGCTCTGTGGTTGAGTGGTTCAACTGTGGAGAGATGACATTTTGTAAAACACAAAATATTAGTTTTCCTAAGGTTCTCTGTACACACTGAAGATTGCCACGCCCATTTTTGTCCGGTTTGTCCAAATGCTATTGAACTTAACACTTGTGCAGACATCTGACGCGATGGAACCTTTACTACTTACTTTGCTCTGCTATCAATCTGGTGAAATTATTCGCTAAATCATACATACAAACGCATATCTGCAGTGTCATGTGCAAGTCACGATATGCACACGGGGTGTTTGTTCTAATGCTGCTGTAATGCTGTTTGGCTGTGAGAGATGTACAATTTAAACACCTACGAATAATGCCTCTCCTCATCTGCGAAGATAGCACACTTCTTCCAAGATGACATGACCGTAAGCCTTGCCTTTTACGTACACAACCTGAGAGGCCAGAATCCAATCGCTTCTGTCCGAATCTGTGATTGTAGTTTTAACCCTATTGCTACTGGGACCTATCCTTGCACATTATATATTCCTCACACGCTAATAAACACTGCAGCTTGACATGACATGTCTATGTGAACAATGCACAGTGAGTCAGTATGCCTCTTTCAACATTCACATTCTTCACTCTGTTTCCCTCTCTCCCCTCAATTGCTCTCTTTGCTACACCACGCTTCTCGGTCCATCTCTCCTCACCCCTCATTGCATTGAGGGCGTCCTCCGCACAGGGTCCCCCAGCTCCTTGTTCCCATGGCGGTCCTCTCCTCAGCTCATGGCTGTGGCGGATCACCAGACAGCCTTACGAACAAAGCCCCGAAATAACCCATCTCCTGTACTGCGCATTGCATACAACATTTGTCTGGTGAGAGAAAATTGACGAGAGATGGGGTTAATTGTGGAGGGGCAACAACGGCACAATTTTCCAACTTTACACTGTATAGCGCGTGCCTTGCCAATTGTAGAAAGTGGAGAAGAGGGTTTTCCCTACCTGGTCGATCAGTAATTCCGGGGATTTTCCCTGCAATAACGAAGCAGTCTGTTGAGGATGTCTGTGGCCTTCTGATGAGCACTCCCAACGTCCGTGGTAGTTGGTCCTTCGAGCCAGCCCAGACACCTGTGTTCACGAACACACAAGTTAATTAATATTTAAACCCCTTAAACAGGACATCCACAATAGAGACCCATCTCTAGTAAGGACACTTTTCATACCAATACATAGCACATAATACCTCTGAATATAAAGTGACACTTTATTCTGCCCCATACAAACACACATACTCCATAATCCTCGGAAATAGGGAAATCTAGAGTTAAGGACACTTTGCATGTCTCCAAGGTGTGCTCTATTTAGAGGTACCACACAGGTACATACATGGTGTCTGATCGTGAGGTTTGTCCCAACTTGCCTTATCTTGTCCATGATTGGTTGGTACGAGGATTGTGTATCGTTTCTGGGGAACTCTCTGGCGTGTTTCGAGGCCCAGTTGTCTTTCCACACGCCGGCAGGCCCACCATCATCACCACCTGAAGAGAGAGAGAGAGAGAAGAGAGACGGGACAAGTAAAATGAGAAAGAAGGAGGAGAGGAGAAATCTGGACTCTTCAAATAAGAGCACTTCTCCATAAAGTACTGCATTCAATCCACGTATAATATATTTGCATAAACGTAGTACAATTTCAACCTCTGAATTAAGGAAACCTAAGAGAAAGGACAAATATCGTCGTTCCCAGCACGGATTCAGACGTTCTAACTGGATTATCGAAAGTTATAAGTCCTTCTCAACATCACATGGATATCAACTTGGTCCACATGCGTATACATGACAACAATGTGTTTGTAAACAACAACAGTCACTTTTCTCAAGTAGGATTGTGTCCCACTCACCTCACAGTCCCCAATGTCTCTGGGTCCAACCATTCTCGCTGCTTGTGGTTGCCATTGGCTCCCTGCAGCGAGCTAGGTACCTCCTCGGAGCCTCGGGGCAAACGGGCGTGGTACAGTGGCTGGATGGGGAGATGGGTTGGAAGAACAAGTTAGGCAACACGTAAGTCAACTGCAAACGTAACTTTTTCTAAATTGGTAAAATTTCATAAAGTTATGAAAGGAAATGGTTAGCAAACAACATGGTGTCGCACTCGTAGAACATTTTATGGCGGAAAGTACCAATTGCGAAAATTTAGTCACAACGTAACTTCCAAGCTTGGTATTGCTCTAGCCAAATGCAGTGAAACATAGGCAACTGACCCAAGTGCTAATATGAGAAAAATTCAGCAAGAGCTAGTCGCTGCGTAACACGTACCTCGACAGAAGTTCATTCGAACCATGACGTACTTGACTGAGATGTGCGGGAAGAAGCATGACCTTTGACCTTGTCTTCTCAAGAGTGAGGCTATTCCGAGATGGTTTCCGTTTGGCAAAGGAGATACTCGAGACGACTACAAGTCCTGGGGTGGGGTGTGGGGAAGGGTATAAGAGAAGAGAAACAATTCACAATGACTGTCGTTAAGTCTCAGTTCTATCAAAATGTGTTGGCCATAATGGGGAAAGACATTAGCATGGAAAACCTCACTACCACAATTTCCAGCACAAAATTTTTGATTTTGTAATCTCAATCAACAAAAACAATGTGCACTTATACCGACTCAGGGAGAAAAATAATTATGAGGTTTGTAATAATATATACGCCCACCAGAAGACAGGGTGATGACATCACCGTCTCCGTACGGCTCTCCATATTCAATGTACTGGTTATTGACTACTGCCTTCCCCGTGCAGCCGTAGCCGTAGGAGAGAGGAGCTTCCCCGAGATCCAGCCCCGAGTCTCCTGTGACCAGCCAACCCTGAGCAGCAAGGAAAACAAGGACAAGAATCCCAAACATTTGCCGTTTTTGTTCTTTCCTACGCGCGCTTGCACTAACTAGTCCATGTTTGTAACGTACAAAATAAGTAGGAAACCACTTGTATGGTTACAACAAGTAGAGTGCTGTACAATAAATCATACCCTATAATGTGCCGTTGCTGGGGTAACGTATACCAAGTATATAGTAGTGAATGGTTTGAGTGCTGGTACTTAATTTTCCACCAACTCTCGCCACAACACAGTATTCATATCACACACCACTATTGCAATACACTACCAACTATAAATATCCATAGTAAGTGTAGCATGCGTTCACATCTAGCATACCTTAAGTCTTACTGCAAACACCTATGTAGTGTATGTACATATGTAATTACCTCAAGGCATTGGGGTGTTCCTCAGTGTCTGCCAGGTCCACGACAGTGATGTACCCTAGTATCTTCACCTCGTAGCAAGACCTTCCTCCCCGGGCTCCCAAGGTCGCCTTGGCCGCCGCCCACAGGTACGCGAACCCCTGCTGCGAGAGTCCGTGGCTGTGATCCGTCGGACTTATCTTGAAATAGAAGTCAGAGTTGACTGGAGAGAGAGAGAAAATGAGTGGGTGTGGTTAAAGTGTACCACTTGTACAGATGGAATTAAATCTGGACCAAAGTCCAACACTTATGCTCAGGTAGGAAAATAGTATATACTGCGGCTAGAACTGCGCAATAAGTCGATCACAAATTTGGAAACTTTCGTGTAAATAAGTTGGGGCAGGGCAATTTCAAGACAAAAGGCACGAAATGTCAACGTCATGTAGGTTGCAAATAGTTGTTTCCACAATCGTGCGGTTTGACACGTGTGGATGCATCACTCAGAGCTGATACAGGTTGATTACTCACGGAGTCGAGTGTCACTCTGGTAATATAGGATGAGCTTGAGTTTTTCTATTGTTGTGGTGTTCACGTGCCCGCAACCAGAGGCTTTTATGCGCATTATAACTACGTATCTTAGCAACAAGAAGTTTAAACAATCGGGTTCAGTTGTCAAGATGATGGAGTAGAGCCGTCCGGAGGCTGGAACTTGGCCCTCTCCCTGAACCAACGTACTCACTGAATCCTCGAACTAGTAAAAGTCATGGCTGGGGTCCTCGGGGGTCCGCGGCGCCGTCGTGGATCAGGTCGTATAAGGCGATCTGCGGAATGATCGTGGTGTGTGGACAGTCACAGACTTTGTGTGGGAGGGGTTGTGACTGACCCCTCTGAGCTGTTCTTTTCGTTCCGTGTTCGTCGTCTCTCCCTCGGCGTTTCCGTTCCTCCTTTCTCCGACCCCCGTACCAAGTACGCTGCAGAACTCGGTGGTAGAATCTGTATTCCAAATGAGCCACGTTCAATTCCAATTAGAGGCCCAACACAGTACACTCAATAAGAGCACAAAGGGCCAATTCTAAATAGAGCGTCACTGTGAGGTTCCACACCCTTTCATATGACCTGCAGTGGTGTCATTGTATTGTCTTTTCCTTCTTTTGCCTCCTCTTCGTTTCTCCTACCCGACTTTCACTCCGTACCACCACTTCATTCTTCCCTCCACTCTTTCCTGTTGCGTTTCAAAATATGACTCACAAACTTGTGTGCGGGTTTC